AGAACACTGACTGGGAAGAACACTGACTGGGAAGAACACTGACTGGGAAGAACACTGACTGGGAAGAACACTGACTGGGAAGAACACTGACTGGGAAGAACACTGACGGGCTGTTCTTCATCTAATCTGGACAACCCAAACCGCGAACGATGGTCAAATCCATCCGTGCAGTCCTGCACGACATGCCCGGACTCGAAGAGGTCCATGCAAGTGTCGGCGTCGGCGTCGGCGTCGGCGTGGGTTCTGCTCGACTCGACTCTGCAAACACAGTTGTTACCGCCGCATCCACTCCAAGAAGAGCTTGCACAAACACGACAACAGGACGATACGAGACAGACGAGCACGGGCCGGGGCATTTGCGAGGTGGTGGTGGTGGTGGTGGCCGGCGTCATACAGCAGGCTGGACCCGTGACGAAGGATGGTGTAGATGCTGCGTCGTCATGTAAGACCCCCAGGGCTTTCCGAAGACACTATTCATGGAGTTGTGGCATTCTTTCGTCAATAATAATGCTGGGTCACGCCGGGGCCGGAGGAGCCGGCATGAAATCTTATATATGAAATGTTGAATGTGAAATGTCAAATCTTCCTGTGCAAGTGCGCTGTTCTTTCGCGCGGCACCAGGACTACCCAGGTACCTAGCCACGTTTGATAGAATCTGCACGACATTCTCGCTGCGATACTACCTAGTATATCACCGGCAGGTAATGAGGACCGGGACGTTCGGCATGCTTCTTCGGGCAGCTGGGACGTCAAAGCCAGGTGGACCAAATTGAACAGCCAGATAAGTCAAAATGAACAGCTAGATTAACCGAATGGACAGCCAGATAAAGCAGAATGTAGAATGGACAGCCAGGTGAATTGAATAAACAGCCAGATTAACCGAACGAACAGCCAAATCAACCAGAATGAACAGCTAGGTAAAACAGAATAAACAGCTAAACGAACTAAATGAACGGCCAGGGGAACCAAATGAACAGCCAGATAAACAGAAATAAACAGCTAAACGACCAGAATAAACAGCCAGGTAAAGCAGAATAAACAGCCAGAGGAACTAGAATTAACAGCTAGGTAAACTGAATGAACAGCCAGATGAAACAAATGAACAGCCAAATAAACCAAAATGGACAGCCAGGTAAGCAGAATGATCAGCCAGGCAAGCAGAATGAACAGCCAAACGAACAGAATGAACAGCCAGACGCACCGAATGAACAGCCAGATGAACCAAACTAAACATTGTTTGCAGTACGTACCGCCTGCGCTGGTAGGTATCTTTGTTAGTAAACAGGAGATCGAGCCCGACGCCCCAATGCATTTATTCTGTGCTTGACCTTGACCTGTTCGAAGAACCCATCCTGTAGACATAAACGCACAGCCCCAACCAAGTGCCCCCTGAGAGCCAGGCCCTGTTTCAGCCCAGGACGGAGTTCATGGCCTTGTGCGCCAGTTCGACGCCGACAAACGTGGCCGCATTCGCCGGGACGGCTCTGGCCAACGCGGGGCCAAACCCAGGGAAGAAAGCCTTGACACCACCGGACCTGTACACTTGCGAAATCACGCCGGAGATGGTCGGTCGTCCCTCGGCCGTCTGAATCCGGCTCTTGATGGTGTCGACGGGGAACACAGGAATCCACATGGCCACGCCAGCACAAGCACCGGCAGTCATGACGGCTGGCAGGCTCAGTTCCCCGGTCGCGTTACCCTCGGCATCCTTGGGCGACAGACTGCGCTTGACGTACTCATACACGGCAAAGTACGCGGCCGAGCCAGGTCCATCTCTCGCCAGCGTCATGGCGCTCCCTCGGAAGACCGACCGGATTCCACCTTCCTTGTACAGCTGTCTCACGACGTCGACTCCGCCAGAGTACTTGGGCTTCTCGCCCGGCGCGAGTTCTTTCTGGCCTTGGGTCTGAAGAAGCACCTTCACCCGCTCAAACGGGGCCGTAATCAGCGTCATGGGAATGGCCGAGAAGAACCCGGCCGCCGAGATCTGGCCAATGCTGTACTGGGGCGTGTTGTTCTTCACGGGCACCGTGGTGAAGGTGTCGACCAGCCGTTTTCCCATGTCATACCCCCAGAAACTGACGGCGAACATGGGCGTCACGCCCACGAGCGGGGCAGAGACGCCTGCATAGAGACCCCGAGCAAGACCTTCCCGGGCCACGGTTTTCTTGACCACATCGATGGCACCCGAATAGACACCCTTTTCGGCCGTTTGTAGCCGGACCTTGACCAGGTCGAATGGATGACCGACCACGACGGCGCACACGCCTCCGACTCCGCCGGCTGCGAGCGAGCGGAGGCCTGAGAAGGCTCCCTTTGCTTTTTCCTTGACTTGTTCCTTGACTTCTTCGGAGGAAGGGAGCTCGTCTATCGAGGTTGGTATCGAAGACGTTGTAGGCGCCATTGTAGGGGGGTAGAAATGAGAGAGGGCGGAGTGAGGACAGACTCTGAGGTGAACGGAGGATGGTTCTCCCACTAAAGAAGGTCCGTACACCTGTTTCTTCTGTGGGCGAAGCTATCGGGTGACGACACGGGCAGATGGAGCGAAAGGGGATCAACAGCGAGCCCAGAGGCTTGTCGGAGGGGCAGCTGCAAGTCGCGCAAAGGACGAGGCTACTGCGTTAAGCTGGGTGATATCATGGTCCTCGGTTGGAACGTTAATTCATGTCAAAAATCCTCCTTTGTATCGAGACTCAGGAGAGGATGAGGGAGTTTTCTGACTCTCTTCTCGACAAAAAAGTAA